GTTATATTTGATTGACAGTATTGCTGGACAATTCTTGGTTGGCAGTTTTTTTCTTGTAGGGCTTTGTGTATGTCTCCCCATTGCCTTCTTGCCTGCATCATTGGTGCTGAATAGTCACAGCTTAATCTGATATGCTTGCCTGTATAAGTGACACTTTTCTCTTCTCGCTGGCTGCTTTTAGAATTGTCTCCCTGTCTTTGATTTTGGAGAGCTTAATTATATTTCTTGGTGACTTTCTTTTGGGGTCTATCCTTCCTGGGGTATCTTCGGTTTCTTGAATGTTTATCTTCTCATCTTTCAAGATATTAGGGAAATTTTCTTCCAGAAGCTCTTCAACTGTCTTCTCTGTGGATTTCTCTTGATTCTTCCTGTTCTGGAATGCTAATAATTCTTATGTTGTTCCTCTTCATGTTAATCCAGCATGAATCTTAGACTCTATTCAGATTTTTTTATCATTTTCTTTCAGCTTGCTCTTTTATCTTAGCAGTATTGAGAGATTTGTCTTCCAGCTCTCTAGTTTGTTTCTCCATTTTTCCATTGATGGGCACTTAGGCTGTCTCCATATTTTTGCTATTGTGAATATTGCTGCTATCAACATTGGTATGCATGTATCTACTGGTGTTATAGCTCGTATTTCTTGTGCATAAATACCAAGTAGAAGAATTGCTGGATCATACGGTATTTCTATTTCCAACTTTCTGAGGAAGCGCCATACTGTTTTACAGAGTGGTTGGACATTTTGCATTCCCACCAGCACTGTAGGCTGGTCCCAGTCTTTCCACACCCTCCCCAGCATTTATTGTCCCTCTGCTTTTTTGAACTTTGCTGTTATTGCTGATGTGTCCATAGCGTTTTCAAAACTCTGAGCTCTTGGTATCAGATTTCCAGGCCCTTCTTTCAAAGTGACTCTGGGTGGATTTGAACCGTTAATCCTTAGATGGTGGTGGTTACGCAAACAACACGTGTGCCATATGTTTTCTGCAAATTATGCAACCACCTTGCAGGTTGGTTTCCTGTGTGCGCTGTTTATGTGGGCCTATTTGGGAAAATATAATAATTCAGAGCTTAACCAGTTGTGCCATTCTGGGACCCCTTAATAAGACCAACTCCCTGCTATAGAGTGAATTGTGACCCATAGCGATCATGTATAGGGTTTCTAAGGAGAAGCTGGTGAGCTTGAACCAACGACCTTGCAGTCTGATGCATTAGCTCACAGCGCCACAGATTGAATTGTGCCCCTACCTCCAATGTCAGTTTGGCTGGATTGTAATCTTAGTAGTGGTGTGGCAGTTACGTATATGAAGATCCCCCCATGATGGGATCTGATGCAATAAACCAATAGAGGATTACAGGTGGGCTACGGCACCCTCAGTGCCATCACATCTCTGGTCTGCTGTGAGGGAGTTTCCCAGGGGTGTGACCTGCACAACTTTTTTATTTTAGAAAGACAGAGACGTGAGCACATAAAGAGGGACCTGGTACCACCGAGAGACCCAAGCTGGGAGCAGAACCTACAGATGCTGAATGGAGACAAGGATCCTTCCCCAACGTCAGCACTCTGAATTCGGACTCTTCTAGCCTCCTAAACGGTGAGAGAAACTCCCCCAAACCAGAGAAGCACAGCTGCACCACAGATAGGATTCAGTCAGTCTCACTGAACTGTCTAGATAAACATGAAGAAGGCACAAACAAAACTACTCTGGGAAATGCTAAACATGTATTTATTTCACGAGGAAAGAGATGGGAAGGGGATGACTACCACACAACTGGACAGGGTTGGTGACAGGTGGAAGGGTCAGTCGTCTAACCTGCACTCCCCTCCAACCACCCCCCACTCAGGACCAGGCTGGTCTACACCCTCCCAGCTTTTTTGCTTGGCCAACGAGCAAACAGCCAGCCAACCCATGCAGCTCCTTGGCAGCCTTGTCCAGACCAGGCGAATGGTTAAGGTAAGAAGTCCACAGCTACGTCTGCTCTGCCACACGCACAGCGGCACACACTCAGGCCCACGCACACACATCCATATATTAATTCTGATGTACAAGTGCACCCTAACCAGAGGGCAATCAAAAAACAAAAAAATTCAGTATTATTCTTAGAGAAGACCGCATCGTCTTCTCCTCGTCACTTTCAGGGGAGAGAGCTGCAGCAGGCTCCAGGTCAGGTGGTCTCCCCAGGCAGCGGAGCCCTTCCTGCTTGTTCAGCCTGTTGGTGTCTCTGTGTTCCCTCAAAGGAGCATGTGGGAGAGTCTGGAAGAGGTGGACTAAGGTGCACCTGACCAGGGCCACACTGAGAGGGAAAGTAGGTGGCCGCAATCTCCCCTGTCACTTTGATTAGGACAGGGTGGTTGTCAATATCAGAAGCTGCTGTGGCTGCAAACATGGAAGTGGAGAAGGGGCCCCACCGGCCCCAGATCTTGACCCTGGGGTGGGAAAATGACCAGGAGGAGATGTACACGGCTTGGCTCTTCTGCATCCTGGTGTTCCCTTGCTATCTGAGAGGAGGTGGCCATGCTTCCAGGTGACCCCATTCCCTCCTGCTACTTGATGGAGTTCTTAATTGTCCACCTCTGTCCAGTGCAGCTGCGGAGGATGAGGTCGATGCCTGCCAGGCCTCGGTTCTCTACCTCCAGGCAGCGTCCTGTCCCCTTGTTCATGATTGCTCCATTCTGGGAAGATAAAAACAGAAAGGGAGAGAAAGCAAAAGGCAGAGAGAGAAAGATATAACCACCTTCCCTGGCACACAGCTTCTCACTGGGATCCAGTCCCCTTGAAAACTACGGAGCGAACTCGGGAGCATCCTCTGAGTTCCTTTGCCAGAATATAAAGTTAAGTTTAAAATTGGGGATCTAGCATTCTCAACCTCACAGGCTGCATATAGGTCACGGAAAACGAAACCCTCACAACTGGACCAATAAACAAAGAAAAGATTGAGGCTGCCAAGGATTTCATTTTACTTGGATTCATAATTGATGCCTATGGAGCCAGCAGGCAAGAAATCAAAACGTTAAAGAACAAAGATGTCATCTGAGGACTAAGGTGCACCTGACCCAATCCATGGTTCCTTCAATCACCTCCGATGTATGTGAAAGCTGGACAATAAATAAGGAAGACCAAACTAAATCTGTGTTGGAAGAAGCCAGGATGGGGAGGCCTCGGCTCTTGTACTTTGGATGGACTAGTCCTTGGAGGAAGACATCATACTTGGTGAAGTGTAAAGGGTCAGCAAAAAAAAAAAAAGGAAGTTGGATTGACAGAGTAGCTTTAACAGGTTGCTCAAACCAAGGCAATGATTGGGGGGCGGGGGAGGGAGGGTGCAGAGCCAGATAGTGTTTGGGGCTATTGTACATCGGGTTGCTATGAGTTAGGTTAGAACTGACTCAGCAGCACCAAATGTGAACATCAGGAAGGTTAACCCACCGGCCTCTCATGGACCCATGTGCATAGTAGAACTGTGTTCCACGGGTTTTCATGGCTCTGGCCTTCTGGAGCAAACTCGCAGGCCTTTCTTCTAAGGTGCTTCTTGATGGGTTTGAACTGCCAACCATTCACTTAGTAACCTTTACTTACTAGCCAAGTTAACCATTTGTGCCACCTAGCATTGAAATCAACTCAATAGCAATTCGTTGTAGCCAAGCTCTAAGGTCCCTAGAGAGGCCTGGTGTGGTGATGTACGATAAGCACTGGACTGCTAACCACACAGTCAGCAGTTGAAACCCACCAGCCACTCTCAGAAACCCTATACAGAGTCACTATGAGTTGGAATTGACTTGGCAGCACTTAACAAACACGAGTTCTTAAGTGGTACAAAAGATTGGCATTTGAGTCCACCCAAAGATAATCTCAGAAGCGGTACAAAAGATTGGCATTTGAGTCCACCCAAAGATAATCTCAGAAGCAAGTCTTGAAGATCTACTTCAAAACATCAGCCACTGAACTCTTACTGGGAGTGGTTCTAGTGTGACACACAAGATCACTCTTCCTTGTACCCCAGCCCTAGTACTGAGTGCAGTCTCTCCCAGAAACCCCCGTTGCCCACCCCATCGTTCCTGTAATGTAAAGTGCTCTTGTCCGGAGCTTGCCCTGGAGGTAGCCAACTTTCCCACCATGCAGCCCCCTCCCCTGCACTGGGAAGAGACCAGGTCCAGCAAGACTCACCTGGATGAAGGTCCAGCGCTTATACAGACTGCTCTTGACCTTGTCACAGTCAAGCAGCTGAGGGAGGCGGCTCTTGGCGTTGTCCACCAGGCAGCGGGTGTCAGGGAGCAGCGTGGTGGTCCCCAGAGCACCCAGGTGTAGTAGGCCTTCCTTGGTGTAGCGGGCCAGCTGTGTGGAGACAGGAGAGGGGTAGGGAGAGGTGAGTTCAGGTCTGTGGCCTCCCGGTTGTGCCCCTCTCAAGGGGAGACCTCTTGACTTGCTAAAAAGTCTGGGTGCAGACTCCCAGGGTCCCTCCCTGATGTGGCCTCTCTGAGCCTCCATTTCCTGGAGGATGAATCAAACTGACACTGCTGCCGAGTCCCTGGGGGGTGCAAATGGTTACTGTGCTTGCTGCTAGCCAGAAGTTTGCAGGTTTGAGTCCACCCACAGAGGTTCTCAAAACCTCAACACTGAAAACGGTGGAGCACAGATCTAGTCTGACACTCAACGGGGTCACTAAGAGGTAATCCATCATATAGGTACGAACAGGATCAAACTAACACCACAATGAGAGACCACAGCGTTTAGCAGACACACTACACAGACCCTCAGCAATAAGGACATCTTTGTTGGGCCGTGGACTTGACTTTAACTCATAGCAACCCTGGATAGGGTAAAAATAGGGTTTCCGAGGAGCAGCTGATAAATTTGAACTGCTGACCTTGTGGTTCAAACTGAACTTGAGCTTGAGTGCTTATCCTACCTTGCCATACCAGGATTCATAACAAAGATAGAGATGAGACATCAAAGATAAAGGTATGAGAGACAAAATGACAAAGGAGAAAATTCTGGCACCCTGAAAGGTTACAGAGGTGCTAGGAGGAAAGGCTGAGCAGGGACCACAGAGAGGGAGGGAGACTGGTGAGTGGCAGGAGCTGCTTGAGACGCAGGCTTAGCAAGAGCAGATCCATGTGGGAAAGGTGGGAAATCATCTTTTGCCTGCTCTTCCCTGGTGACCACCTCCCATGCTCATTGAATCCTGCGAGTATTGGCAGGGAGGGAGCCTGGTGCACTGCTTTGGGGCCTGGATTCAAGTGGGCTTTGCAGGTTTTCTAGGTCTGGAGCTGAGTTACCAGAGCAGCATTTAATCAGTCACCCTGCCCCCAGCTTCCCTGTGGTCCTAACAGACACTGAAACTAGCTCCATCAAGGACCCCCACAAATCACTTCTGGATTGAGTGTCCTGAACATTGATAACCGTGAACCAGTAGGAACTCCATCTGAGGTGAGAAATTCTGCTGACATAGTCCTTCCACAACCACCCCGTGAGCTCCTTGAATTGCAAGAGCTCCCCCGGAGATTTCTTCCCTCCAGGTCCAACAACGGTACTGCTCGTTTAATATGACAACCCCACAATACCCTGGCAACAACAGACAAGTTTGTCTCACACAGAATGAGAGAGAATTGCTCACACAAACGACAGAGATACAGAGCTAGAAAAACATTGGTAAGAAAGAAAAGGTAAATAGAACGAATTGAAAAAGAACTCAAAAGAATAATTAGTTACCTTCAAAGGACAGATACAAAAGTCGAGACAAGTCGAGGAAAGCAAGAACACAATAAGAATTCAGGAAAACACTACAAGAACAAACAGACGAAATAAATGCCCGTTTTAAAACGAAGATCTTAGAAATGGGTGATACAATGAAAGGGCAAAGGAGTAGATGTAGAGCAATCGAAGCCCAATTTAGTGAGCTTGAAGATAAATCTCTTCTAGAAAGGAGCTCTGGTAGCATAGTGGTTACGAATTAGGCTGCAAACCACAAGGTCAGAAGTTCGAAACTACCAGCTGTGCTGTGGGAGAAAGATGAGGCTTTCTCCTCCTGTAAAGGTTTACAGCCTCGGAAACCCTGTACAGGGTCGCTATGAGTCGGAACCGACTCCACGGCACATAACACCAAGTATGCTAGAGGAACAATTTATGGATGATCGGGATTCCAGGACATGAATAGGTAAGCACAGAGAAAATTATCGAAGACTGGTTGGAAGAAAGTATTCCTAACATTAAGAAAGAAGATAAGCATCTAAGTGGCAGTTGAACAAACCCCAAACAGGATAGATTCTGAAAGAAAATCACCAAGACACATCATAATCAAACTTTCCAAAACCAAAGGCAAGGAAAGAATGCTAAGAGCAGTTCAGGAAAAATGAAAAGTTACAAAGGCAGACCAATCTCCGATTTCTCAGTAGAAACCATGTAGGCAAGAAGGCAATACATATTCAGCAAGGGGGCTACAGCCGCAAAAACCAGGTAGGGTACGCTCCAGTGAGAAGGGGGGGGGAGGGGAGGGGGTCTCACGAAGGAAGCACTCATAGAACCACTCCAGATCTCTGAATCTACCATAAGATCCAGAACGTCAGTTTCCCGCACTCACAAGCGAAAAAACCACAATATTAAAGAAAATACGAGTGAGTTAGTCCAGTTCAGAAAATGGCGCTAAAACGGTGCAAAAGTATCTGCAAAAAAAAAAGACGCAAGAGAGTACACATTTCCCCCACTCTCCCAACTTCATTGCTCAGCCTGGACATCAGGTGGGACAGTTTTCCCACTGTACAGAGGGAGCTGGGCGGACCCCTCGCATCAGTCCACCTTGGAGTAGGTTCTCACTGCAGGTGACCCTGTGTGGGGTTCCGAGGCTGTGGGTCTGAGAAGAAGCAAAGTGCCTCGCCTTTCTCCCAAGTAGCGGCTTGGGGTTTCGGGCTGCCGTCCTTCTAGCCCACGTCTACTGCACTGCCTGAGCTCCCTGTGCAGATCCAATTCAAAGCAATCTGTAAAACCCCAGCATAACAGGACTCAACCATCCCGAGAATTGGGCTGTGTGCAGATACCTAACTGACCTTCAGAGGCAATCGTTCTCCCATTAATTCCCCAATATCTACCTGCACACCTCTACTGTGGTGACTAGCAGAGGGGCCGGAGAGAGTGGTCACCCCCACCTCCTGCTCGAGGCTTCTAACTGCACACACACTGACGGTGTAGCTTGGGACAGCTGACCACAGCTTCATTTGTGTTCCAAAGTGGTGATTTTTGTCTATGCATTTGTATTACTTATGCTTTTTGGTCCTTTTGCTCACACATCTTTCTTTACTGGAGGTGGTAACTTTTTCTCCCTATGTTACCCAAGAACAGACAGCAATCGTGGCCATATAGCCAAGCTATAAGCATATCCCAACAACACCCGCTAAGCATTACTTGTGAAGAGAAGACTATCTCTTGATCATATTCACCAGGAGACACCCAGTAAGCAAAAAACAAATGTTCAAGCTTAAAAAAAAACATGTCGAATAAAAAGCAGCAACAAACCTTATGAAAACACATCCAGAAAACAAGAAAGTAGATAATGAGCTGGAGACAAAGGCTTTATAGAGCAGGTTTTGGATATGCCTGAGAAAGAATTCAGAAGAATGTATGGAAACAAATCTCTCAATACTGCTAAGATAGAAGACAGTCTACAATTCATGCTGGCTAACATGAAGAGGAACAACGTAGGAATCATTGGCATTCCAGAACAGGAAGAAGCAGAGAAGACCACAGAGGAGATAGCTGAAGAGCTTCTGGAAGAAAATTTCCCTAATATCTTGAAAGATGAGAAGCTAAACATTCAAGAAGCCGAACGTACCCCAAGAAGGATAGACCCCAAAAGAAAGTCACCAAGACATATAATAATGAAGCTCTCCAAAGACAAGGAAAGATTATTAAAGGCAGCCAGGGAGAAGAGAAATATCACCTATAAAAAGGCTCTGACTATTCAGAACAAACCATACAGGCAAGAAGGCAATGGGGAGACATATACAAAACCCTTAAAGGAAAAAACTGCCAACGAAGAATTGTCTATTCAGCAGAACTGTCAATACATACGATGGTGCAACCAAAACATTCCAGGATAAACAGAATCTAAGAGATTTTATCAAAACCAATCCATCACTTCAAAACATCCTAACGGGAGTTCTATGGACTAAAAACCAACAAGAACAGACAACAAACAGAGATTTACAGG